ACGTTCGATGATTCTTAAAAAATAATGGAAAATTCAGGCCGTTCGTATCATATGCACAACGCTAGTCAAGACGGGAAGCTGGCCAAAACTTCGAAGTGTGTGATGTACTGTGCATGTGTGGCCGGCCCGTGACCGACAGACCTCGTTTTACGGATGAAAATTTCGGGAAACACGCTGCATGTATCACTCCAAATACGAGTAGTAGTAGCGAATTTGGTTTCTTTTGAAAAAAATAGCGAATGTAAGTAAGAAAACAAATAAATACAAGCATTTTTTGACGCAAATGGGTTGTTGAGAGGTATTTTGTGAAGACAGAAAAGACAACAAGCTTTTATTTTTATTTGTTCAATCATTATTTTTTTTTTGGAATTGCCAATAAAAATTTTAGGGTCGCAGCCTGAAAATAGGGTCGGTCGGGTAACCGGAAGCAGAAGTATTATTTTTTTGGGCCTAAGATAAACATATATGCGCTAAACAAGGTGTACATGTACGTTTTAGAAGTCGCACATATTGTATAGTATGCAGAACAGATATATGCAGGTACTACACATGTACATTGTACATGTACACACTCAGTTGTGCACTACACTGTATGGTGATGAACTGTTCAATTGGGCTATACCTTCCCTACACAAAATCAATAAGACTATTGACAACCTGGACATACATTGTCTAACACAGGCCAATGCAGCCGGGTTAGGTCTCATTTTCAACTACAGTAGGTAACGATTTTGTTCCCATTCAAAAATCAATAACAATTGAAGTTTGTCAAGTTTTCTACCAGTAACAAAAAAAAAATGCTACCAGTACACAGCTTCAGGATAAAATCAACTAGGGCTACATGTTAACAAGTTTCACAGGACTAGAACTATTTTAGCACATGTAGACCTGTGCAGTTTGAATTCAATATTTACTTGAATGGTCAACGTCAAGAAAGTCACAGACTGCACTAGAATGAGCTTTAAATCGCTGGATTCTGTCAAGCAGGAATTCACATCTTTAGACTTATTTTTGGTGGGTAACGGGGGAACACTAAAAACTGTTAACTTTTTATGGCATTTTTATACATTTCTAGAAGGACAATTGGGTGACAAACTTTGACAAATGCTGGGCATTTAAAAATAAAGCGGGGTATACTTCTCAATCAATACGAGGTCTCAGCAAATAGGGCGCTCATAAGCACACTTGTTTAACCACCTTCAACGATTCTTTTCTTTGAGTGATACTATTTCAGGCTGAACTTTGTTACCAGTCCTTTCTTCACTTTGAACAAGGTTTTTCTCATAAATTAGTCGGTACGTTTCCGGGTAATTAACAGGTTGTGTGCCTTTAAATAAAAGTTTACTGAGGCCCATTCTAGACGCCGTGCTACTCCCGTGCCGAACTCAATCATGTTTAGAACCATTTGGCTCGGCGAATTCAGTTCGGTATGGCACCATCCTTTGGCTCAACAGGGTTGCCGCCCTATCGTCATTCCGAATGGCAGTGGCACGGCCCTTTTCTAATCACCGTGCAATTGCCGTGCCGAACTTAATTCAATTCAAACTTGGGGCAAACATTTAAGGAAAGCACATGCTCTCACAATGCTCACATTCCCGCATCACAGGGAGTGACATTGGGGCAAATAGTTTGATCACGCTATCGGTCGATCACGCCGCCATCAATCAAACACACTTTATTTCCAATTCACGGCGGATTGTTTTGAAAAAGGGAAGTAAAAATCGTGCAGTAGTCTGGTTTCCTGACCTAATTATCTATATCATCAGAGTTGTCATGTCAGGAAGCCAGACTAGGTGCACGGTGGTAGTACCAGCAATATTGTCAACCAGTGTAAATGTGTGTTGACAGTGGAGCCCAATATACATGATATACGGTGGTAATCCAGTATTTGGGTCCCATATGGGCTAGAAAAGGCATGAATCTGGGAACAAACATTTCTGGAAAGAATGTTTCAACCTGACGCCACTTTTTTCTTTGTATATCATCTCAATGAAGGCCAGTCATTCTAAAAATGATGGTAAGACATGAATCTGGGACTAAGATACATTTCCAATTTTGTTAGGAAATACTTAGAAAGTTTTCTTGACCCTCTGTAAACTTTGTACACAATCGCTGAAGTGGCATCAGGTTGCAACATTCAGAAAACATGTTGCAATCGTGACGCCACTTCAGTGGTTGTGTACAAAGTCTAAAGTATTTCCTAACAAAATCGGAAATGTTTGTCAGTCCCAGATTCATGTCTTATTATTTTGCAATGACTGACCTTCATTGAGATGATTATGAGAAAAAAAATTGGCATCAGGCTGCAAAAATTTTTCTCAACATTCTTTCAAATACTTTGAAAATGCACTTGACTCTCTGAATAGGCTTAACCTGGAGAAAAAAAATCCATATTATACGTAGCCTACTCCACTAGTTTTTCCCTGCAATGATTCATCAACCATCAGAGAGGGTAACATGTCCTAGTAAAAAGTGAAATTTAGCAGGGCGCAGGGTGTCAAGTGGCGTACGTATATGGAATTCTTGGAAAGATTCCCATATCTGGCCATCACTTGTCACCCTGTGCACAAACCCAATGGGACTGGTCTGGAATTTTTTAAGTGCTCTCAGTAAAAATTCAAAATTTTTCCAGCTAATTTTGACTTTTTAAGACATAATTATCACTTTCTGATGGCTAATAGTACTTGATACTGGTCATTTAATTTTAAGGGAAAACTTACTGATGGCCAGATATGGGAATCTTTCCGAATTCTTTCCCGTCTGGAACTATGGATACTACACTCTCTCCTCAACATTAAATATCCCACCCCCATCTAGTCCGAGTAACTGGGACCCAACTTATCGCCCGTCTGTCCAAATGTTAAAAAAGGCGATAAGTTGGGTCCAAGTTACTCGGACTAACCCCCATCTGGGGCTGATACTAACTCCGCCCATTTGTGCTTGTGTATATTGCCTTGACCGTTCCGATCCCCTTCCCGGCCCCTTCATCATGTTCACAGTGATCAGACATCAAATTTACGAAGTCGAAAGGGCTCTCCCAACTCTAAACATTTTCTCATAAATTTTCTCATAAACAACAATGAGTTACACCTACCGTGCTGACCAGGAGCTCCCATGACAAAAGCAGACAAGGACTTGAAAAACTGAAAAGCTGACAAGTGTTGGTTTTAGAGTTTTTGCCCGTATGACATCCACCTACGTTCGTCTTCCACGCTCCCGAAAGGCGAGAGCCCAGGGCTAGCTAGCTACACTTACGTACGTACGTACTCCCACGTACAGCCTGTGAATGCAGTTGTAAAGTATGCATTGTATCGTATAATGTGTGCACCCAACCAACAAACCTTGTTTTTGTTGTTTTCTATGGCGGGCAAAAAGTACAACACTTTCAGAACATTAATAATGTAGCTCAAACCCGCTTTTAAAACCAACCATCTTCAAGAGCTAAGTTTAAATAATACTGCGCATGTATTTCATTTATTGTACTAATGTAAATTATGAGCGACTGAGTATAAGCCTGCTTGGTTGGTTGGGGGTGGGCGAGGTCGATGTACAGGCCTGGGGAATCTTATTGGATTAATTTAGTAAATCTGCCCCCCACCCATAAAAACACACTATAGGAAACCTTGTGGTCGACCCTAATGTTTCCTTGGAAAATTTGGGATGAGTGGTAGTAGGCACATTTCATAACCTGTGACTGGGGGGGGGGGGGGGTGGTAATTGTTTACTACCCAGCCTTAAAGGGAATATACAACATTTGCTTTTGCTGTAATTTTCATAAATGGATGCAAAACGGGGTTAGTATTTTAGTAGGAAATAGTGTACGTTACACCGACTTAATTGTTCGAAGTTTTGTGTGCGTAGATGCTGGAAAAACCAAGAAAAACAATCCTGTTCCTGTAGTCTGGTTCCCTGACCCCACTTAAGATGAAACGGAGCAATTTATAGACATCGGGAATTGCAAGCTCAGGGAACCAGTCTAGCTGGTTCATATGTGTGTAATTGACTCCAAACAAAATGCGGACTAATTAAAAATGGTAAATTGGGGCAGTATTTGAAGCCGAAGAAAAAGTTTTTTCCAATGCTGGTCGGCTGACCAGCTTTGAGATTTTGATACAAAAATACCACTTTTCTTGAAAATGACTAGAACACCAGGTGCCATGATTTTACAGGATGCCTTAGACTGTCATTCACAACAGTAAATGTTGTATATTCCCACAGCATATAGCGGTTCATGCACCCTTAGTCGTTCGAATGGTGTAAAACAAATATCTTAATTTCAAGAATTCATCAGCGAGCCCCCAAACTAAACCTCAGCCGTTTCTCAACTTTTGCCAACAGTTATATTTTGGGCTGAAATCATGGGCGTTGCCAGGATTTTTTCTAGAGGGGGGCAAACATTTTTTTGCCAAAAAATGCTTGTATTTCTCAACACATTCTTGATTTATCAGTTTTAGAGGGGGCAGGGACATTTTGCCCCCCCCCCCCAAACTCATTAAATTTACACCACTTTGTCTTCGCGCCTCTTTTTCTTTTTTTTTCTTTTCTTTATTTCTTCCTTTTTTTTTTTTTTTTTTTTTTTGCTTTTCCAGGGGGGGGGGGCAAGTGCCCCCCCTTGCCCCCCCCCCCCCCTCGCGACACCCATGGCTGAAATTTACATTTTTAAAAATGTTTTCCTCCTTGTAATTATGTCAAGAAGAAGTCATATTGTATTCCATTTTATGCACAAATTCAACCTCTTTAAAAAAGATGAATCATTTCGCAGTATGCCGATGCAAAATTCTACAGGTCCTTTGTTCAAATACCACCCTCACTGAGTCAGTTAATTCTTTTAAGTTGTTTAAGAAATTAACGCCACTTTTTGCAATTACCCATTTTATAAAAGTCCCCAAAATAAAACATTTAGACAAGGCTCTCCATCGATTCGCTCAGTTTATTCATAGACTGGTCCCGCACACTGCGGTCAAAGGCTTTAGGGTGTAACACGGGTGCAATAAGGTACCAATCCAGATACTAGTACACGAAATAAGCCAAAATGTTTCACCATCCCAACATGGCCAACGTGAACGCCCTTTTTTAATGCAATTATTGACTAAAACTTAAAAGTTTGTTGATCATAAGAAAAATTGTTGATCATTTTTCCTAGGACATAATTCAAGTTAGCCATCATAGCAGGCCTTTATTTTGTTGCATGGATTGACGATACATGACTGAACATTCCTCCATGCGCGCGCGTGGAGTCTCATCAATTCTCTAGTACTAGTAGTACAGACGAGTTGATACGATGTGCACAGAGATGTATGACTGTAGAACTTGGAAAACTTAACTTATATATTAATCATTTTGGATTAATAGAGTCTGCAGTCAGCTATTCTGATTCTGATTCCAATGAAAGAATGGCGGGCTTTCAGCAAGCTGCGTTCCCTCTGATCAAACTGGCTTCACTAGCCATCAAGCAAATCAGTAAACCACTGGCTAAAAGAATTCAGATGGTGGCGAAAACGAGACCACTTGTGCGCAAATACATCTGCATCCCACCGGCACAGTGTAAGTTCTATGAAAATGACTAGCAGTCAAGTGCATAGAGAGCTTGCAAAGGGCGCCCTCACTGTGGACAGCTCTTTATTCATCTGTGATACGCATAAGTAGACACTTTGTACTTGCATTGCCATTGGTATTGAATTGAAATTACAAAACCTGTCGTCCTGTCCACACAGTGAGGGCGCTCTAAATGCAAGCTCTCTATTATAGATGTGACATGGCTCGTTAATAGCAAATTATAAATGTATTCTCAAAATTGATGTTAATATTTATCCGAAAGAACTTGCCGAAAAAGTAAGTTTTTGAGATTTAAGCACTTTTGGAGACATTGTGATAACGCGTTGTGAATGATACTCGCACAGTTGGATTTTTTTCTTTTCCTTGTTAGGTTTTTCCCTCCTATTGTCTCATATTTGACCTGTTTTTTTTCTTTGGATATGTTGAGAATTTTCCAGTGGTAGGTGAATTTCCTGTTACACCTGATTTATCAGATTCTGAAATAAACTTGTATTTATTGGGGATAATTAATTGATAACTAATTTAAATGGGCCTAAACCTTTCAAGAAATGTTGACGAATTCTAACTTTGTTTCATATGAAGTATTTCTTGTAATAATACCTGTTTACAATTAATTTTATAATACATTTATCCACAGTATATCACTGGATGGAAGTCAACCTCAAGATGCGAATATTAGGCCTCGGCAAAGCTACCAAAGTTGAACCTCTAACTGAAGAGGCGGCTGTCGAACAAGGAGCCGAAATCATAGGCGAGACGTTTCTGTTTGCAGTTGCCGTGGGGACGATAGCGTTTGAATATTACCGGCAGCAGAGGAAAGATCAAAAACACGAAGGAGAGCAGACGTCGGCGATTACCGAATTACAACAGAGGGTGGAGGAGCTTGGAATTACCATCGAAGAGCAAGATGCTAAGATACGGGAACTCAACAGACAAGTGGTTGGTTTGATACCAACAAAGTAAAACTGAATCGTAAAATTTGTGAAATACGACTGGTCAGTGTTTACAGCTTCTTATGAAGCAGTTGTGAAGTCACAGAGGATGAGATGGATGCAGTCCTCAAACAACCAAGATGTCTGGAGAGAACCGATGTAGCATTGTTGGGACCTTGACTTCATTTCAGCCCAGCAAGCTTAGGAATTTTCAGAGTTGTAGTCAGGTCGTTGTAAGTCTTCACAGATCATCACAAGTCAATCACAAGTTATATCTTAAGTCACAAGCTTTTGACACGAAATGAGACAAAGGCATTGCCCTGCTACTTGTGACTGGACTTGTGATTTGACTTGTGAGGGACTTGACTACAAATCTGGTCACCAAACTCCTTGATATTTCCATATCCCGATAGGCTAAAATGGGACTTGCCATCTACAATAACCACATACAGAGCTCAAAAGCTTTGGGTTGCTTTGGGTGCCAAAACCTTTGAAAATGACAATTTATTAATATGGAGTGTCATTATTGAACCTGCGACCTCCAGATTACTGTTCCAGGTGCTCTACCAACTGAGCTGTCCAGCCCTATGTTGGCAGTTCCCCAATTTGTCAACGTCTTTGTTCAAGGGGTGCGAGTTGGACGCAAGAATGGTAAAAGACCAATCAGGTGGCCACAATTCGAAGACATTTATGTACTGAGGTGGTACAAGTACGACGCTTACCCCCAGGTTGTTGAAAAAGGAATGCCTATGTCAAAGTTCATATGGGTTTCTTGTCTGACACTTTAGCTGTAATATTACGTTATTGATTTGTGACAAAATTACAAAAATTCAACTCTGATGTTGTGGTCTCCACCAAATGTAAGATGCATTGACTTCCTTCATTTGAGTTGCATAAGGGAAAAGGATTTTAGAGTTTTGAATGTCGATGTTAGTCTTAATGTCAGCGTCTCTCCATGTATTTTCCAGCTTAGTTATCAATAGCTTTATTTCTTGGTTCTTTCATGCACCTTTGTTTTTCTTCTGATGATGTTCATTCATATGGAAAATACAACCGGTAATGAGGCAATGTTCTGAAATGCTGGTTCTTATCATCCTTTAGATAGAACAAATATGTTTCTTTTTAATACTGCCACTTGCAAGAAAATAAGGGTGGGTTTTTATGTTTGACCCAACTCTGAGTTACACACACGTACATGTAGTTCTGCTGATTATATTAAAGACTAAAATATCCCCCACCCCCATCCCTCCATTCGCCCTACTAAAAAAAAACTGGTGAGCATATAACGATAGAAAGAATTGACAAAATGGTAATTTTATAGTTATAATATATTTATTAAATCATCTTTTGAGATTAAAAAAAATCATTATAAATAAAATTGTCAAGAATTCCTTAAAATTATGATCACAGGGATTTTTCTCACATCACCTAAGGAATGTATTGATGTGTGCGAAGAAGTTAACCTAGAGAAAAAGCAGTGTCTGTCTGCGTAAAAAATACATAACTTCAATCCTACAAATTGTCATCCACAAATAACGTACATATGTATGTTTAAAAGTAAAAAGGCTTTTTCTAACAGAAATTATATTTTATCAACAATGTCCCTGTTTTGCTTTAAATGAAACTAATTTGAAGTAACCTTTTTTAACCACGATACTGCATTTGCAGATACAGGTATGGTGCCAACTGACTTTTTTGCCGTCTGTGGCATTTTCCATCAAATTTAGTGAGCTGGTTAAATGTTTGACATCCATACAAATTTTTGTGACTCCATGTCCATCCCAAGTAGGATATATTTGTAATCATACGGATAGACAGACCGATTCACATTTTCATAGTCGGATGTCTCCAAATGTATACTAATTTCTGCATTTTTGACCAAACAATAGGACAGTCCATTTTCAAATAAGTTAGTGTTCAATTATTTGAATATTCGAAACTTGCCGATCAAGTTTTACACACGCCAGCTGCAGCTGCCTTCCGCGCTGGTCAAAAGTTGCATCCAAAATGCGCCAGTTAAAAATTGCATGCGGTGATGACTATTATGGATTGCTGGAGTGCTTTGCAATTGCAGTAGTAGGTACTGTATAACTGTCCAGGGACTTTACCCAGCTAAAAAAATGGGACCATTTTTATTATCATCTGACAATAAAAACGCAACTTTACGATTGAAATGACTGTGCGCAGGTGCAATGTGTTCTCTTTTCGAATATTCAAACTGGCAAAAACTATTCGAATATTCGAATGATGATCAAAATATTCAGTATATTCGTGACAGCCTCACCAAACAATCTGTAGAAATTGGTAAAAATATGCAACACACAAAAAGTTGTACCTACCATAGCTATTGATACTGTTTGTTTCAGTCTTATGATTTTCTATCTTTAATAAATACATTGCTTTCACTACTGCCCGCTATTTTTATATTTCAGTTGGTGTTAGAGAGAACTGCATAGGTTTTCCTAACACTGGATTTATAAATTTTTGTCAAAAGTGAGAGAATCCCTGGAATGATTTTTTTGATATAAAATAAAACCTGCTCTACGTTTCACTCCACTGTACAAATTCTTAATGTCAGTCGTATCATTTTTTACATATTTACACTAGATATTTACACTATATGCATAAAAATACCCATAAAGATACAAGGTGGTTGTGGATATCTCCTGACAACGAAATGTCAGTTTTTTAAATTAAAACGTGGTTAAAAAAATATCAAAAGCTACCAAGTTTATTTTAAAAGCTGTCTTTTTAGGCCAAATTTTGTTGTAAATTTACAAGAGTAACTTGCAATGAACATCCTTTATTGGAATTGAAAAGGATTTCATGAAATGAATCAACAAGTTTTTCATTTCTATTACTCATACTTTGAAAAATCCCCCCCCCCCACAAAAAAAACTCTGAAAAACATTTGCATCCACCAACCCCAAACCCTGAATGACTGTATAGAAAATAGATTAGAGTCAAAATGATACTATTTGGGTATATTACTCATCAGTTTTTGTAGGGCGCTGAGACGAGCATCTATCTCCGACATCTCTGATGAACGGTTGTACATACCCATGGACTGATCTGGGGGGAAAAAAGGGAATTGGCATTTTTGAATTTTTTTTGAAAAATTTCCTTTAAAAAAGGATATTTGGCCAAAAGAAATAATAAGTCAGTCTCTGGTCAGCGCGCGCGTCGATTTTAATCATGCGCGTCAACCTTTTTTTCCTTCAAATTGTTAGCGGTAGCTACAGCAGCGCCCTCTATTGCCGCACCTCCTCAAATTTTGTACCAAGGAATGGGGAAATTGCACCAAGGCAAACGATGGAGGGCACTAAGGCAAATTATGGAGGTCCCCAATGTACATGAGGACACAACAAAAGCAAATTAGTACCCACCTTGTCTGTACAATCCAAGCTTCAAAAAAAAAAAAGGCCAAAAAAAAAAAAAGCCGCGTCGCCGCATCAATTCCGGAACTTTGGTCTGACCAGAGACCGAATATTTTTTTTTTTGGCCTTAAGTTCAGAAAATCACGTAAGGTTTCACAGCCTTGCTCTGTAATTTTCGAATTGGGAATATTTTTTTATTATGTAATGGTGTTGAAAGATTGCAAAGGAACTACCAAAATATGCAGCGACGCACATAGTAATTTAAGGTGTTCCCCCAGCCTTATCTGGGCGAACTGTGTAAATGGGACAAAAATGAACAGTTTTGTGCAATAACAAGTGCGAGTGCACAATAAGCTCTAGCCATGTTAGACTCGAGCGAGGCTGACGTTGCAAGAAGTCTTGCATGAAAGTCTCTCATGAATTCGTTCAAAATGAACCCTGCTCGAGCTTAAAAATGCGACGTCAATGCGATGCCGATGGCACATATGAAACACCATACTTTTGGTCAATTTTCGGGACAGACAGACAGACTGACCGACCACTAAGTGACATGAAGAAGCTCCGGTCGAAGCTTAAAAATGTTTCCAAGAGACTTATCACCAACATTAATTCTTTTCGATAAAAAGAGGGTGAAGTTACAGTCAGATATTTTCCAAATGCTTATCATGTCTGTCCCGACAAAAAAAATGGATGTGCTCAAAGTTAAAGTGCGTTATTAGTTAGTTGAGGAATTTGAAGACTAATGCTTGTGCTAAACAACGTTGTCTGAGCAGTGTTTTGTCTAGTTTCACCTCTGAACTGTTAGGTGTGGATGTCCTAAAATATCATTTACAAAGGGGAACTGATACCCAACACGAATCTGCACACTTAGTTTACTACGGTTGGGGGATTTTTTTTATTTGAGAGGAGACAAGGTTGGGGCCTGGTGTGAAAACTTAAGTCCAGTGTTGTAGTCGATTCCATCACACGTCCTCACAAGGCTATTACAAGTCATCCTGTCCTCAGTCATCTCAAGTTGTTTAAATGAAACGCTACCAAAGCACTCCTGTTATAGCTATTGTTCAGCCCCTGCTACTTGTGACTGGACTTGTGATGGACTTGACTACGACACTACTAGAGTCGGCTTTCCCACCTACCTCTGACACCATAGTCCTGGAGGTCTTTCTGCCTGACCTTGACTTGGTTGGCCACACGATGCGCCCTGTCAGGATTGAGGTATGGGTCCGGTGTACTCATCATCGTGGTCTCGAGTCAAGGAAACTTGTTACAACTGCCAAGAAGTGTGTGTGAGTGACACAAATTTATAAGTGACTACAATGACTCGACCTGAAGCATGACGTTATGCTTTGTTTACATGTGCGCTTTCCTATGGGAGCTTGGTGACTCTCGTCCCCACCTGGCTCCCATTGGAAAGCACACATGTAAACAAAGCGTGATGTCATTCCGCGGTCAATCCGTATATGTTTTGGGTTCTTTAAAAAAGTCAAATTTTGTGTATTTTTAAACAACCTCAAATACCCCTAGATTGAGAGAGTTGTGATGAACCCCCACCCAAGGATCACTCCATCCAAGTGACATTAAAATCCATCAAACTCTTGAAGTATATTTGAACAATGACCTCTAATGACCCCTACATGATCTTTGACCTCAGTAATCCAATGAAGAATTGTGTCTTCCGACCCAAGGGTCACTGCATCTGAGTTTCATCAACATCCATGAAAGCATGTAGATATTCTACAGTTTTTTCAAAAACTGAACCGTAACTTATACATACGGGGATATGGTCATACGTACGTTCCAGCGGATGGGCCTTCTGGGGTACTTGTTGTCCTTTTATCCCTTTTTCTAAAGATTTCACTTGTGGGGTACCATTCCCTTTGTACGAGTACCCCACAAGTACCTGTGGTGTGTATGAGGATATGGTGATACGGTCACAAGAAATTAGGACTGGTATTAAGTTTCCCCCAAAACTTTGTTGAGGTGACACAAAAAAAAGGATATCTTTTTGGTTTGCCTGTTGACCCCGCTCTCCTGAAACCCTGTAAAGTGAAACAAAACAACAGATAACATTGAAAGAGAAATAATGATTTGCAATAGCATATCATTAGTAATTCGCTGCCGAAGTTGTCACGTCACACAGAGGTCAGCTCAGTGCAATCATGGTTACTGGTTCACCTGCACTACAGTAGCCCAATGTGAACACAGTATTTTGTTATAGCAGTTGTTAACTCAAGATTTATAATTGGCTTGATCGAGTCTGCTCTGGGAGGCGAAAAGAAGCACAACTGTGGTGACAATCTTCTGCACAACACTTTACCCGTTTCAGGTACTCATTTGTGAAAATGTTCTATAAAAATGGGACGTAAAATTGCTGTTTGTGATCGTGTGTGTTAAACCTTCTCGAAATTTGTCGTTACGGAATGCGCCTGTACCGTCGTTGTATAGAAAGTGAGCAAAAAGTAAATATGAATTAACAGACCTTTTCTACACTTAATGAATCAAATTGAATCTTAAAAGTCTTTGAAATGCCACAAGATAAATTCATTAAAAACTGCAATATCATCATTTGTTGCAGTAGTAAACAATCAATTCAATTCTCAGATGAAACACAAACACTTTTTTGCAAGGTTAATTACCGCATTGGGGCTGTTCCATGCAGTTGATACCGTCCTACGCTGTTTTCTGACATTGTTGAGCACTCTACAGAATAAAGGCACAGAATACTTGTATGAACAAGAAAAGAAACAACATGCAACAGTAAACAAATCTTTTGGGATCTTGTTTAGCAAAGAACAACAATCCTTTTGTTCTTTTCACTGGATTTTATTTTATTCAACAGACTTTGCAATTTTTTTTTAATTTGGATACTGCCAACTTCAACATGGTAGATTGAAGAAAAAAAAAGTTTAAAAAGTACATCTTTATAATAAAAATGCTGTGACATAAATTTCTTAATAATAATAAATCCTACAGTTTTCCTTCAGTCACTAAACTGTATTTCTCTTAAACGTCAAGTGAGCTAAGAGTTTGTGGGTTTGAGATCCACCTATGTCCAGCTCTCCAATGGCACTGACTACAGTGTTTATAAAACTATCTTTTGTATAAAAAATATCAATTTTGATGTTAAATCTTTTTTTTAACACTAATTCCATCAAAGGGGCAATTTAAACCCGCCTTGCTGTACCTTGTCCTTTTCTGGGATGAGTCAGGGAATGCGTCAATGTCACTCAGGCCGCTGGTCGATACACGGCTGCCTCGACTACCAACGGATGAATTACTCCTTGATCGTGGACGTTGATAAGCTTGGAAGAGACAAGATAAAAACAAAATAGGATCATAACTTACTAATAATCTGCCTTCACCTGACACTATGTTATTCCCACTGTATACTCAGGGTTTCTTAAAGTCTGTGAGAAAAATGACACATTCGGGTCCCTTCTATTCAACCCACTAAGGGGGTACTTGTGCACAAAGGTCATTTTCTCTCGACTCAAGGAATTGTAATAACATCTTACCCCAGTTTCACAGAGCTCCTAAGCGCAAAATTTGCTAAGCACGAAAAAGATTTGCTGAGCAAACACCGGTTACCAGCTTAAATGTCATGCAATGTATGCTGAATGTGACTGGTTCCCAACTGATTTTTGTTCCCAACATTTGAATTTGCAATGTAATATTTTTCACAAACTTGGTTCCTGATTGCAGGGTTTGGAATTACACTGCCTTAAGGTCATTTCGCACAAATTTCAGTGCAAAGCGAATTCATTAGGGTAACGGGGAACTTCACAATGACCAATCAATTGTCATGAAATTCACTTCGCTTTCGAGAAGTATAATCTGTCCTTTACCTGGATAAGATGGTGACGGTCTTGTTCTTGTTCTTCCTCGTTCCTGGGATCGGGACGGCTGTGAACCACTGGACAAGGTTCGACTTCGACGCCTCTCCCTATTACAAAGAATTCCAGTTACTACAAGCCACAAAACCAGCCAATATGGCCACTACAGATAACAAATTTATGAATAACTGCCAAGCAAAAATTACAATGAGCATCAGATTGTCAAGAATGATAAGGTACGCATACCTCCTTGCTTTGGCCTCGTCTTGTTGACGTTTCTTCTCCTGATTGTAAGCAGTGGGATCGAACCTCGGAACTCTCGCTCCTACAGCATCCAAAGGGGAAATAAGTACCAAACTGGTTAATGCATTGGGGCAATTCCACGGTTACTCACGTTACATTTTTGATGTACTTTTGAGTTTCCTTGGGCTGTAATTACCTTACTGAAAAGGTTTAATAACTGTTATCCCCATGGTAGATAGAGTAGACCTGGACCTACCTAGGCACCAAAGATGACATCCAGAAATATGTGTTGTGTATGATAAATGAGACACACAAAATCGGTTACTCACGTTACGAAAATGTAACGTGAGTAACCGAGGAATTGCCCATTGGTTCTTTCCTTGACTTTCATGTCTAGTGACCCTGCTCTGTTCCCGATTGTGCCTTCTTTTTCTACAGACGACCATCGAACAAAATAGGGTAAGGGCAAAGTATGGACACTATGTATAAAAAGGGAATAAATATGTGCTTGGCCGTGGCCGGTTGTAAATTAACATGTCCGTTTAAGACCGGCATTGGGAATGGATGCCGATGATGGCCCAAGCGAAAGGCGAGGGCCATTATCGGCGACCAGGCCCCATGCTGGTCTTAAACAGACTTGTTTAATACAGGTCAAGCACATATTTATTCCCATTCATAAATACCTTTTCGGTCAAAAAGTCGAAACAAGTCAAAAATTTTATTTTAAATAAAAATCAAAATTTCCAACAATTGTTCAACAATTTTACTTCATGTTTTTCAACACACGCCTCTTGCTACTATATATGTCCCTATTGCGGGTAGATGTAAAAAACTCCTTATATGGAGACTGGCGCGAGCGTGGCGTGTACTGTGCGATGTGGCGCAGAAACGAGGCAGTGCCAGTGTAGTGTGAATTTAGGACCCTCGAAATACAGACTCATTGGTAGTATTGCGCATGCCTGAGTGAAGATTGTGAATGTTCACCAATAAAAGGGTAGAAGGGACCAGACTTCATATAACTCCAAATTTCATGTGACACCGAAAAAGTGTTTAAGACCAGCCAGCCGGTGTTTTATCAACTATTTAAGACCAACAGACTAATTATTCTAGCATGGAGTGAATAAACATCTACCCCCCCCCCCCCAAAAAAGGATAATTTTTTAAAGAGAAATCCAGATTACCTGCAGGCAATACAGACCTACTCCCCTTGCACGACATTGACCTAGTCACGTGCCAAACAGCACCCTCTATTTTTCCTGCATGGAGTCAAAAACATCTTTAATCTCCCCACCACCCCCCAACCCCCCTCCCCCCCCCCAAAAAAATAACCCACTCCAAAGATCCAAAGAGAAGTTCCTTTTACCTGCAGGCGATGGAGACCTACTCCCCATGGACGACACCGATGCCGGTCTTCTCCTCTCCCTAGATGCTGCCCTCTCCCTGCTACTCAGCCTGGCCCTCTCCCTGCTGGCATCACGGCCAGCCAGCCTTGCTCTCTCCTGGGTACCCAGGGATCGTCTGGAGGCTGTGCCTTGGGAGGAGGGAAGGGGGATGGTGGGAGACCTGCTCACTCGTCTTGAGGAGCTTTAAAAGTCAGTGAGAAAGGATGTTCATTTTTGGAGGGTGTTGATATTTTTAATTAGTTTCTTGATTCATACATTTTTTAACCCAAGAAAAACAATTAATACTTGTGAAAACCATGAAGAAAATGCATGGTAGTATTTTTCCTGACAACTACTGCGGGCATGATTTCAGTGGTCACACTTTCTACTTCTCTTTGCAAGTGTAAGTGACATCACAAATTGCTTTTCATTTTTGTGAATGTCTGTCAACAACGTGTAGGCAAATCCATCACAAAGCTGTCAAATCACAGTAAAATAAAAAAGTAAGACTGTCACAAGCCAATACAGCCCATCATGACAGCATTTATCTCTGGTTACCTTGACATGAGACGACTGAGAATACTTTTATTCCCCCTGGGGGCATTAGCTGGCATTAGCCGGGGAGTAACCTGTGATGGACCAGTCCATCACAGGTTACTCCTTGGCTAATGCCAGTATCCATTTATACTCCTGGGTGGAGAGAGGCAAGTGGGGGTGAAATGGCTTGCCCAAGGACAGCAACATATGGCCAGCAGCTGACCCTCTGATGGTGAGTCATGAACCCTAACCACTAGGCCACATTCCCCCTAGTCAAATCATAACCCCATCGTAATTATGGTCACAAGAAACAGGGGATAAATGGCAAAGGAATGACTTGGTCACAGTTCATTTAAATAGCCTCGCGACTTGAGACTCTGCCACTCCTTCCATCAGCTCTTACCTTTTCAAGACAGCTAGCTCATTGACCAGACTCTTGACTCGTACCCTCAGATTTCTCTCACTGGCTCTTAGCTCTTCAACCTGAGGAACGAATAGAGGTATACGTTCATCAGGCGCAAGCGCTAGACTATTTTTATTTTGGTTTGCTTTTGCCCCTCTTTTTCACAAAAAGATTCCCTGAATTAGTGTTCGGGGTTCCCACACAAATTTTGAAATGAAATGCCATGACTTTTCCAGGACAAAATTATGGCTTTCCATGACCAATTCCTATGCTGTTTTGGTATCCTAGAAGCTTATATACTGTACAATACACTGGCCAGTCATCACACTGAGGCAAAGGACGCCACTCCTTTTCAGCCTTCTAGTTTGACACAAGACCACTGAGCACCACAAAAGCATCACAGTGGTGCATTAAACATGCAACAAGTATAGAGCAGACATGCATAAAGGGAAGTATAGTAGACTGGAATGCAAGCTGGAAGACTGCCACAGCCAAATATTACACACCATGTATGGGTTGTGCAGGATTCCATGACTTTTCCATTATTTTTTTCTCTGAATATCAACTTTCCATGACTCCTTGTAACATAACAAAATTCCACGACTATCCATGATAACTTTAAATCACAGGTTTTTCCAGGACTTTTCCAGGACTGCGGGAACCATGATTGTTGGGCCACGGACAATACCAAATTAGAACAGAAACAAATTTATATCAACATGTAGCCAGATTTTTAAAATTTCTCTTTCAAAAGTGGAAAATGTTTGAAGCAGAAAAATAGCAAAGGCTCATCTCACTACCTCTTCTATCAAGTTCTTGTAATCTTGATTCCTCTTGCTAGCAGACCTCTGGAACTTCCTCCTCTCATTCATGAGTTCCTCCTCAAGATTCCTGATGACCGTCTTCAAGACGCGGACCTCCTTGGCAGCACTGCCCTTAGTCGTGTTCTTGACCTCGCGGCGGTACTGAAGAAACTCGTCGTCCAGGTTCTGCTTTTCTTTCAGGAGTTCTTCGTAACTTGAGAGGAAGAAGACGTTTGAATGTCTTACATCAGACTATTACTTGCACCAACCACGATAAATAAGAATCGCATCTGTGATCTACATCGATATACGTGTACAGTGTTGTTGTCAAAGTCCTTGTGAGGGGTCACAGGTCACCATAAGCCCATCACAAGTCCATCACAAGTCCATCACAAGTCAATCACAAGTCAATCACAAGTCAATCACAAGTCAGTCACAAGACATCATAAGCCCATCACAATCACAAGTCAATCACCAGACAATCTCAAGTCAATCACAAGTCAATCACAAGTCAATCACAAGTCAATCACAAGTCAATCACAAGTCATCATAAGCCCATCTCAAGCCTATCACAAGTCAATCACAAGTCATCCAGTCCCAACTTAACTCACAAGCTTTCAAATAAACAGTGACAAACGCATTCCTTTGTCCCCAGTCTCTTGTGAAATGATTTGTGATTTACTTGTGACTGGATTTGCGAATTGTCTTGTGATTTCCTTATGATGTACTTCCATCTTTTAACTGCAACACTGGAGATTACCAACATCTACTAAACCATGAAAAATTCATGCAGTTTTATAATAATCTGTTATTTGGTTTTCTCTTTAATTAAGTCCCTAACCGCCCTGAATCCTCCAAAATCCTTTTTGCAAATTGGAAGAATTTGCAGGATTGAGGTTACATGGCAAAAGTGCGTTGCTGATTTCGGAGTACGCACTGTGTCAAGGTCTTGGGCCGGACCTTGTGTTGTTTATGCTCATCCGTGCATAAATTTAGTCCTTGATTATACTTGACAACCTCCGTACTGCTCCAGGATGTCACTGCCTCTGCCTCAGCCTATTGACAGTCATAGCCGGAGGATTTTGCAGGATTCAGGCAGTGGTCACCCCTCCATGGACCATATTCAAGAAATAACGGAGGAATTTGCAGGATTGAGGCTATATGCTATTTTTCCATGGGGCCAATTGGAGGATTTTGCAGGATTGAGGCTACATCCTAGCAAAAAGGCCTAGGGAGTTAGGGTTAAATTGTTACTGTTTTAATGCCTACTCCTTCAGCTAGGAAGTTTTTTAAATCCACCAAAATCTAAGACAGTCCTGAATCATCAAAATGCTACATAACCAGACTTTAAATTTTTGGCGATTCATGGAATTAAGGGTTAATAACTTAAAAAAAAAAAAACAATTAACTCACTCCTTTTTCAATCTCTGTAGCTCATTACTCCTGTAATCAGAATGTACCTAGGTTGCAAAACAAAGAGGAAAATGACAAATATCAACTTTTACTTTTTCTTTTCCTTCATGACTTACAATATACCAAACTGTTCTATTCTTTTATCATTATTCGCATTTGATGAAAAATAAACATGGAATACCCAGACCTTTTTTGCTTAGAAGCTTTAGCTATGCGGCATTAGAAGGGTTAACATAAAAACAATTGTGGGTTTTTTTGGGGGGGGGGATGGGTTGGGGTGTTTTTTTTAAGAGGTTGTCGGTTGTTAGTTACGGTACTATTGAAGGCCTTGTTTATATTTTAAGTGAATGTGAAGCAAATTTTATATCATGAAGCGTTCATGGTGAAACTCACCATGCCAGTTTTTGTCATGGAATCATAAATTTGGATTTGCATTCACTTTTGCACTGAGTACCAACCACCCTTCAGCCTTTAATTTCACTTGGTGTCCACACTGTATCACCATGTGTAACATAATGTAATATCATATACAATTGACCCATCGCCATTTGCGAGTTAGCCACGCCCCTTAGACAACCCTATGGAATTTTTGTACCCCAAGTTTCGTTTGTCTCAGATGTTGCGTGTATCGCGTCCATTTGTGTATCATGTAATTGGACAATACTTCGCAAGCTGCGTTGACGCCATTCTAACGCGATTAGTCCGCGATAGGTAAATAGTTTGATTGAAGTTATTATTATAAGATGGAATTTTGCGTCGGGGTGATATAAATCAAATTAGGTTTTGCCCTTCACCGATGTTAATAAAATCTTATAATAGTTTATGCAGTACCCGCTGCTATGTACATCAGATTCGAACCGGCCAACCGATCCCGTTAGCTCGGTGGTCGAGTGGTAAGACATCTGCACTAGAAAGCAGGTGGTCGTGGGTTCGAGTCCCACCCGAGTGATTTTTTCCAACTTTCTCTCGGGAGGTAACACACTGAGTATACAGTGTTTAAAATCGTCGGTGAAGGGCAAAACCTAATTTGATTCTATTTTATTGCTAAAACTACCAGAGTTGTAGTGATTCAAGTCAATGACTCAACTCAAGTTCGACTTGAGTCACATTTTTGGGCGACCCTACTCAACTCGAGTCCTAACAGGTAACCGACTTGACTCGACTCGAGTTCCTAGGAGCAAATGACTCAACCTTCTTGACCTAGTGACTCGACTCGACCTTCTTGACCTAGTGACTCGACTCGACCTTCTTGACCTAGTGACTCAACTCGACCTTTTGAACTTGTGACTCAACTCGACCTTCTTGACCTAGTGACTCAACTCGACCTTCTTGACCTAGTGACTTGACTGGACTCGAGTCACTTCCTTAAAATGACTCGACTCCATTTGAGTCACTAACTTCAGTGACTCGTTACAACTCTGGAAATTACTCTCCAACCTGAGACTGTAACCTCCTGACTTCTCTCTTGAGTTCTCGGACTGTTTCTTGTAGAGCCACAGGATCAGGCTTTCCTTGGTAAGGTAACGGCAAGGGGTAGTGGATCCTGCAATCAGAAAAATAACAGATCGGTTGATTTGCTATGATATCCCATGACAGTGTTTCCCTGCAGATGCACACTTTACAACCAGTGGTGGTCCTTGTGCCAAGCTTACGATTAGAATTAGATTTTAGGACTGTGAACTTTATGCAGGAACAGTAGACTGGTTCCCAAGCATAAGGTGTGAAATATGCAGAACGAATTTCCATCCGAATGTGCACAAACCATAAAATATCGTTCCGAGCCATACGCACGAAGGCAATGGCGCGCTGTCTCTGTCATGGGTTTCTGTCACCGTTTAGGAAAAGATGGGGTTGCCAGTAATTTTTTGGAGTTTCGTTTCAGGGCAGAATTTTTGGTATTAGGTTGTTGGTCATTAGTTACAAATTTAACATTGATAGAGAAGGTAATAAGGAAACAGCTGAGCGACTTAAAATTTGTCATGAAAAAGCAATAGGTCTCGATCAAATGACGTTATTTCCTACAGACCATCCACGTGCATCGGCATTTTGAGCATCAACTTGCATAACGCGCATCGGCTGCGTCGTGTTTCGAACACATTTCGAGCAACAAGCGCCCATGTTTGGAACATTTTCAACTCTGCGCAATGCGTGCTTGATTGCATAAAATAAGCAGTTGCAGTTCTCCTACAGAGATGGCCGTCATTGAACGAGCCCTATAACCATACTCTACGCTCTCGTTGACTTTACTGTTTTCATTTTGCGTTACGCACAATTAATTCTATACCATAATGATGTTGGGAATAAGGTGCAGGTAACTCAAAATGTTATACTAACTTAATCTGTTGCTTATTGAGTGCCAAGTTGTTTGTATAATGTCTCACTAAATAGCTCATACCTTCTTTAATATTGCTACAAGAATAAAGAAATACAATTCGAAAATGTATTGTTCTAAACGCCACATCCAAAAGAAGAGGACTAAAAACAATTTTAAGAAGTTGCTTAAAAGGCTACTATGGAACTGGCAATATCTGTGGACTACTCGTATGTAAATGTATTTTTTTTCTTTCAACCATTTTTAATTTGACAGACTTTGTATACTATTCATTTGGTCTCACCTATCAAATTCCACCGTGTATGTGACAATGAGGTATCTCTTGGCACTCAGGGAAACTTTCTGAGCCCCAGGGATGCTACTCCGCACACCGCCTGCCTTCCTGCTTCTCAGCGTCTCCAGGTCAGCGTAGGTCAACAGGTCAAGGGTCACCGATTCGCTGGTCTGTAAATCAGAATCATTAAGACACTGGTTCAATTGGGACAGTGGGAAGTCTGGTTGGTGCTGTGGTACTTTCTAAACCTGCCACCTTTGTGACCATGGTTCGAATCCGTCCTGAGCCACTATGTGGATTCCGTTTTCAGTCACTACCTGATTTCAAGGGTTCCCTGGAATATCACTCTTGTGTTTTTTTCCCCAAGTATAATACTAAATATCTCTTTATTGGCTTTGCTCGTCTGGCATTCTTTAAGTTTTTTAAGTTTTAGTGCACTTTATGGAACGTTCGGTTTCATTACCAGAACTTTTAAGATAAAATACACAGATAAAGAGATAATTTGACCAGCATTCTACTTTAATTGCACTGGCTGGAAGGCTGTGAGGAATGCCATGGCCTCGTGGTTTGAAGCATCAAACTCAAGACCTGTTCATGGGTAATTCTTGGGCGAGAAACTTGTCACTAATTGCTTCTCCCCATCCAGGAGTAATTTGAGTAGCTGTGAGGGCCGAGATGGTTAAGTTGATTGATTTGAGCTGCTGAGTGTTCAGTTACATGTATGTTACCACAGTTATGAACAGAATAAATCCTTTACTGTTGTTGGATTCTGATGGAAGTAGATGGACATCTAAAGTTAAAACGGTGATTGGTTGGGTTTACTTTTGTTGTTTAACCCACAGTTCATATTTACTTGTACCTTGTTGATGGCAGACTCCAACATGCTGGTGAAAATGGAAAACTGCTTGAAGTTTCCTGTCTTGTGTGTCAAGTCTTCAATATCTGCAACCAATGCAGACAATAAAAAGTATCTTCAAGTTTGTATTTTAAAAAAAAGGTAATTTTATGAGGCAATCAAACCAAGTGGGAAAATGCTGAAGTCCAGTTCAAAAGATGAGTCTGTTAATGGTAATGTACATTTACAAATGTAACAAATTTTTAAAAATACCAAATTATGATGAAAGACCTTACTTGACTGTAAGTGAATAATAATCTCAAGCATTGTGTTAAATCATGGCACCCGACGTGCTGTCATTTTCAAGAAAAGTGGAATTTTTGTATCAATTTCCAACAATGGTCGGCCGACAATCGTTGGAAAAAAATGACTCTTCTCAAAATTGCCCTTAATTTCGCAAATTTAGTTAGTGCACGTTTTGTTGGCAATCGGTTACACATCCTTAAACAGGTGCAAAGCCAGCTTGTCTGGTTTCCTGACTTGACAATTCCCCGACATCTATAAATTGCTCTGTTTCGTTTTGTTTAAAAACGTTTGACTTAGTGTCAGGGAACCAGACTACAAGAAGAGCATTTTTTTCTTGGTTTTTCCAGAATCTATGAACACAAAACTTTAAACAGTTCAGTGTAACAAGATTTGCTATACATAAAATACTAACCCCCAAATCCATCCATTTCTGAAAATAACAGCAAAAGCAAATGTTCTATATTACTTTTAATCAGTGACCCTGCCCAATCAGTCTTTGATACTCACAGGCCGCGTCAAATGTCCCCCGCCACTGGTCAGCGGTCAGTCTGTCCTCAACCTCAACGGTCAGTGTGTCGTTGTCCTCGTCCAGCCACATGCTGACCACGTAGTCCATGCCACGGAAGGTGTAAGGTCCGGCCATGGTAGCGGCATCTCCTTCCCTTTCACCCATGACTGGATTACTCGGTGAGTTGGTCTTCTGTTGTTGGGAGATTTAATGTTGGGAAAGAAATTGGTTATGTCTCAACCATAATGTAAAAAGACACCTTTTTGTGGATCTCTAGTGATACCTTCAACACGGTTAGTAAGGACAGTAGTAAGGTATGAACCAAAATAAAGTTGTAAAAGCGGCAATCGTGTATTTACGGCCCCGGTTCCCTATAGGGAACAAAATCCACTTTTAATTTATTTGACTTGCCAAACTAACAGTCAGTTGGCGACATTAAGAACATGCAGGTATAGATAGCAGGCAGCTTTTTGAATTTTTGAGGGAAATTTTGGGTTAAACTTGCTTGAGAAACTCCAGCTCCAATGCTCATCGGGAATTCGACATTTAATGCTGGAGACAAAACTACGTTGTACATATCGAATCGAAAATGGTGGAGGCCGTGAAATTTGGCCTCAACACAGCCGCCAAATTTATCATTTTTTTTCATCATTTGAGCTGGGCTTTCTCAAGCAAGGTTAAAACGACACAACGTAACACAAAAATAAAGATGACAATCACCGCGATGTACCATCATGACCGTGAACTCGCAAGGTACGCTGAATCGCACGGCACCAACCGTAACAAACCACGTAAACCGTGTACGGAAATCGTAAGATTTTGAATGTCGAATTCTTGATGAGCATTTGGAGCTGCAGAGTTACTCATGCTTAGTTATTCCCCCCAAACATTGCCAAAAAATACTTTTCAAACTATATTTGGGGAGATTCAAAAATGTTAGAGGGTGCTGTTTATTTATGACAAATTTTGTTAATTATTGGCGATCGTCTAGTGTAGGGCCCGGTTCCTATAATACAAACAAAATCCATTTTAAAATTATTGGACCTACCAAACTAGTTGGCGACATTCTCAAAGTCCTGCCCTCTATCTATGATAGATAGAAGGCAGGGTTTTTATTTTTTTTAGGGAAATTTGGGAGTAAAATGATGATGACAGCGCGGCGACAACACGCGATCCGAAAATAAAGATGGCGAGTCACCGCGCGATGTACCGTGAGCACGCGCAGCGCACTGAATCGCAAGGCAAAAAACGTGCAGGAAAATCGTGATTTCTACCCCAAGAAACTGTTCAAAATTGCAAAACGGGTGTCATTAGAATTGAGAAAAGTCTGCTTTTGATTGTAAAGGTGATTTTTGAGCAATAACAAACATTTTTGACTCTAATTTGATAAAAAACAAAACAGGGGCCCTACACTTCACGATCGCCAAATTATTTTGCTGTTTTTACCTAGCTTGAAAGTTGAGACTTTTTGAGTAACTCCAGCTCCAACAACATCATGAACACATTGCTCAACAAGAATTCGACATTTAGAATTGATTCAACAAAGACGACATTAAGAATTCTAAATGTCGAATTCTCGATGAGCATTGGAGCTGGCGTTACTCTAGCCCCATAAATGTGGTCAATTTACTGGACTACCACCGTAAACATAGGCCACACTGCCACATGTACATGTCTTTATAGGCTAATCAGAAAGTGCTGCCTTTTTCGGATGTCTAATTTTAAAATTTTGTGAAATTTCATGTTGAAATTTTGATACGCAAACGTGTGCAAATGAATCTGGAAATTTCACGAAAAACAGACAACTGAAAAAGGCATCACTTATTCACTTTCTGATTAGCCTATAAAGAGGGTGAGTATGCTTCTAAAGCAAAAAAAACCTACAAACTAACTTACTACTAGTTACTAAGCCTAAATGTGAAAATCAAAATTTGACAAAGTGCAACATGTTTTTGTACATGTGGCAGTGTGGCCTATGTTTACGGAGGTAGTCCAGTAAATTGGCCACATTTATGGGGCTAGCGTTACTCAAGCTATCTTTAAGGCTCATTTTTAATGTTCCAGCTTCAACTCTTCGAGTTCGAGTTACCGCTCACTCTCAGTCTCAGCATGGAGGAAGGAGTCTCACTCTCAGTGCTAGCCCCATAAATGTGGCCTATTTACTAGACTGCCTCCGTAAACATAGGCCACACATCCACATGCACATGTACAAAAACGTGTCGCACTTTGCCAAATTTTGATTTTCACATTTAGGCTTAGTTTGTAGGTTTTTTTTGCTGTAGAAGCATACTCACCCTCTTTATAGGCTCATCAGAAAGTGCTGCCTTTATCAGATGTCCATTTTTCGTGAAATTTCCACATACATTTGCACACGTTTGCGTATCAAAATTTGAACATGAAATTTCACAAAAATTAGACATCTGAAAAAGGCAGCACTTTCTGATTAGCCTATAAAAAAAAAAAGAGGGTGAGAATGCTTCTAAAGGCAGCACAAAAAACCTACAAAGTAAGGGTAATCCTTACTTTTAGGACCCCTTTCCTATATGAGGTTAAAAGACTCACCAAAACAGCTGACTAAATGATACTCAAAAGTGACATTCTGATATTTATTGACACATTTGAACATTTGGCAATGACACCTCTTGAATATCAGCAGGTTTGATTTTGTAGAAAGAGGGCAAGGTTTTGATTTATGAGGGGTTAAAGACGACGATGACAAACAGAAAACAAATTTAAAAAGCAAGATGGCGAACTGCAAAAAAAGGTTGGAAAGTCACATTTTCTTTGAAAGTGCTGTCAAAATTATAACTAACATGAGTTTGTCTGAAGAAAAAATACTTTTTTAGCTTCCAAAGTCACTTTGGTACTGGACAGTCATCTGCAAAAGTCAGTTTTGAACAGAACTCGTACAAAATAGAGGTGTCCTAAAAGTAAGGATTACCCAAAAGTCCCAAGTATACCTAAATGTGAAAATCAAAATTTGGCAAAGTGCGACACGTTTTTGTACATGTGGATGTGTGGCCTATGTTTACGGAGGCAGTCCAGTAAATAGGCCACATTTATGGGGCTATCTCAGTGCATGCTCAGTCTATCCATGGAGAAATTTCTCCATGGTCTATCACATTCACTATCCACTCACTAAACTCAGTCACCGCTCCACTTACCTGAACAAAAGTATTGTTAGATTACTACTCCAATCGAGCTGAGCATCTATATTAAATTGATAACGAGATCAAGTATATGTATACTTTCATTAAAAACAATTGTAGGCATCCAGCTCCAATGGAAAAACTAAGATTATGTTGATAAACTTTCGATCTTCATCAACCACCACACAAACCATTTCCATTCGTAACGGCCGCCATTGATTAAAGTCGAACAAAAGGTGGCGCCCTTCACACCTTGCCTTTTTGCTGCCTGCGAGCCAAGTCTGAGCTCGAGCCGCGCTTGCTTCATATTCACGCACGTCTTTTATACCCGTTGCCCAGAAGTATGACCTTTTTGGCAATCCTTTTTTCTCTCTCTCTCTCTCGCTGTCATCTTGGGGAATAAAATCTCAGGAATTCAATTCAGAAACCCCCATTTCCACAATTAGTCAATCGTGGTCTTCGAGGGGGGGGGTATAACAAACTGCCAAGAAAGCTATTTTTCACTCAAGTAAGATTTGAGGCTTTGCATGGTGAAGATACTAAATAATGAAAGGTTTGCGGAAACACCATGTGCGAATAATTTCTCAACTAAGAGAATGGTTCTGAAAAGAACCAGAGGTATAAACTCTTTATAAAAGAGTTTATACCTCTGGTTCTTTTCAGAACCATTCTCTTAGTTGAGAAATTATTCGCACATGGTGTTTCCGCAAACCTTTCATTATTTATTTTTCACTCATTTTTTTTTTTAATATGACCTGAAGCAGAGCCGTATCTTCCCTGCTGTAGCGACCTTCCAGACCGCAGCTATATGGTTACTGACAATTACCAAACTAGCCCCAAAACACATCCCTGGAACCTCTCATCAATGATTTAGATGAGAAACATCTCAGGGGGAAAAAAACGAACAGTATCGCGCGATACAAACGTATATGCACGGTGCCCCCGGGTAATAAACTTTTAATTAACGAAAAGGATGCCGCTACATTTCATCCCCTTCCAATTACCGGGCGAGATGCTTGCTGATCGTGCCGCTCGAGCACCCTCCACGGGCGTTCAACCGCGTCGCGGCGATATTCCCTCCATAAGCCAATACCGATGATTAACTACATATTGCTGGCCACTGGCTCCAGGCCCAAAGCAGAGTCGTAAAAATCTACCCCCCCCCCTCCCCGGTCCCATCCCGCGTTTGTGTTCTGATGATGATGTATAGACGCCGCTAGTTATCCAAGAAGATGATTTCCAATCTTGGTTGCCCCTGGTGAATGATGTGAGGATGGATGGATAACATTCGTAGCGATGACGGACTACTTACAGGGGTGAGCCAGGCATTGGGGAGGGGGATGCCATGTTATAGGCCTACAGGCTATACGCATGACGTCAATCTCTACTCTAAAATTGATGAGAAATTTACTAGTTACATTGGGTCGTTAAAGTCTTGCCTCCGGAATTAATCACGACGCGAAGATTGCCCTTTTTCAATCTTGTGCAGAATGAGCTTACATGTAGCCAGAATGAGCTTACACTGCAGCCAAAATAATTATAATACATTGTACATTAATGCAGGGGAAAAGGTGGATTTGAAACATCGGACCCAGTTTTAGTGAGCTGCTAATTTACAAGATTGGGAAATTTCCATTGGAGATAGTCACGTTGTAGCCGATGAGCCATTTTTAAACTTGTTTTTTTTTTTGCTTCCAATATTTTGTAGGCGCTCAGCAATTCTTCATCTTGTCATCGACCCATACATTTTGGCTTTGGACGTGTAGACATGCACACAATTTAACGAGACGAGATCATCCCCAGTAAAGCGTGTCACAGAGCGAACACAATTCTATTCAATAATGATTCTGATTGGCTAAAAGTTCGGAGAGCCTTGGACACTTCAATGGAAATGAAATATGCGCTTTCGCCATTCATGAAAGCGCACACAAACAAGCAGATCTGATACATCGTGCCCTCTGGAGACATGCACACAATATATGGAACAAAAGATTGTATACATCTCCACAAGGTTTTCACGAAATAAATATGTGGATTTTACTCAAAAACTAGGAATTTCAAAGGTGGGTTGATCCGTCGCAAATGAAAGAGTCTTACAAAAGGGATATTAAGTCCGAATTTCAGCCAAGGAAATTAATTCTGGTTAAAATAAGAGCATTTTGAAAAGTACACTTTCAAACTCGAAAAATTTACTACACGAGAACAAAGGAATGTCTCCACAAGGATACAAATTTCAGTATGTGGGCACCAGACTAATGCATTTCTGGGGAAGATGCAAATGACATCATACATGAATAAGCAAGCCTCGTAAACTACACTGAGCTGCTCTATAGACCTGTGTAAGTCACAGTCAGTTTAGTGAGATAAGTATCAGTCCACAGAGTGTGCCAAAAAAGTTAAACATTAAGAAAACATGCTGTCATCAATGAAATTATATATTACATTAAAAACTGTCTATTTCTCGATCCACTCTTTTTTACCCCATTCCATTTAGGTCCCTAGATCCAGAAATACAGTCAATTAAGTGAAATGTTTTAAATTGTACTTGGACCACTCTCACCTGGACATGCTGAATCTGGGTTAAGCATTGAATAGGCATTGAAGTTGGTGACATCACAGGTGAGAGTGTTTTCTGAATGTTGCACTATTTTTTTGGCACACTACAGGGTGAGTAAAAAAAAAACCGAAACCCAAATGTCGGGACTATTGTTTTATTGAAGTTCTGCATGAAGCACTTTCAACATCTAGGATATGAAAGCCCACTAAATTCATACACTTTCCTTTAGTACAAGAATCATTCAAATCAGTTATGTACTTTTCAAGTTACGGAATTTTAAACACAACCACCGTTTTAAGGTTCTGTCCACGGATCACAACAAAGTTCAGTGTTCTTTCAGCAAAACGAAAACAAATCACATAGGGATGTGTGTGAATTGTTTTCGTTTTGGTGAAAGAACGCACGCCGTTTTTGTGATCCGTGGCCAGAACCTTAAAACGGTGGTTGTGTTTACAATTCTGTAACTTGAAAAGTAAGTGATTTGAATGATTCTTGTACTAAAAAAAGCTTATGAATTGGGCTTTCATATCTTAGATTTTCAAAATGCTACATGCATAACTTCCCTAAAACAATGGTCCCAACATTTGGGTTTCGTTTTTCTTTTACTCACCCTGTATGTAATTCACAAAGGGGAGTGAGGCAGTGAGTCAGTCAGTCAGTGAGATGAGGTCAGCGTACAAAGAGGACAATTGGCCGGCCCTCTGTGACCAGAACAAAAACATTTTGAAAACTGAAAGGCATCCCTCCCCATCTCAATCCTTGTATTTGCAAGACTCCCCCTCTTTCCTCATCTCCCTCCATTCCATCCCCACTCCCTGGGGAGGTCAACCTCGCATCATTGCGACGGGATCAGTCACTGACCGAAGAAGCAGCTGACCATTAATAATGAACGTGTTTACTGTAAAGAGGCCTACTCGATTCTCGCATTTTTTTTGTGGACAAAAACAAGTCGACATTTCTTACTTTGAAAAATCTTATATACCGAGGTTTTACTCACTGAAGATGCTCTTTTCACCTAAAACTAAGCATTCACTCCGTGCTTCAGAAATAGCCAGAGGGGCTGCAAGGAATTCGCAAGGGATTTTTTCCATTACCTTTTTTATTCAGTCCATTTTCACTTGGAAAGTTGGGTTTGGGGAGTGCATAATTTGTACAATATTACGTTCTAGTTTGATTCCCCAAATGATTTTTATTTTCGTATTAGAACACTGGACCATACTATTCTCGCTAAACATTATTCCATAAAATGACAAGAATTCAGTTTATACTATAATTGAATTGTTTCGATTTTCTTTATTGGCAAATTCAATCTTGTCGATATCAGACATTTGTTTTAGTTTGACAGTTTTTCATTTTTGCTTTAAACTCTAAAAACAACTTAGTCAAAATATTGACTGGTTTTCCTAGTTATTGAAAATTGAATAGGAATTTAGTTCAACATGTACAGTTTCATAGTATGACTAGACAAAGTAGTTGGATTGGACTCCAATTTTAGTTATTTGCACAACTTTTTCTCCTTTAGTCAACAATACTGACTGGAAAAATCTAGTCAGATTGACTGATTTTCAGTTGCACCCAGATGACCGTGAATAGCTAGTCAAATTTCACCGGTTTCTAGTCAAATCTGACTAAATATGGTTGTTTTTTTTTAAGAGTGTAGATAACTTCGAAGTCTGCCTATACCAATGGTCGAAATATTCACGATATTGCATTCACTTTCATATTAAATCAATTTTTCATATGGAATTCAATTGATAACCAGTGGAGCCATGGGCATCGCGAGGGGGGGGGGGGGCAAGGGGGGCACTTGCCCCCCCCCCCCCCTGGAAAAGCCACAAAAAAAAAAAAAGGAAAAAAAAAAGAAAAACAAAGAAAAGAAAAAGAGGCGCGAAGACAAAGTGGTGTAAATTTAATGAGTTGGGGGGGGGGGGCAAAATGTCCCTGCCCCCCTCTAAAACTGATAAATCGAGAATGTGTTGAGCAATACAAGCATTTTTTGGCAAAAAAATGTTTTGCCCCCCTCTAGAAAAAATCCTGGCGACGCCCATGAGTGGAGCTTAACCCCCAAACCCCCCACTGCAAACGCAATACCCGCAGCGGCGAAAAGTACAAAGTTTAATTCTCTCAGGAGTAACGGTTTTAAACAATTTTTTCATAAGCCATCAAGATGATAAATTAAAGCATTACTAGACGGGAGCCGACGGGGCAAAAAAAATGAAAGCACGGTGAATAATACGAAGTATGAAGTGTCTCTAAATGTCAGCCGAGAGATAATTAAAATGTGGAAGTATTATCGGCAAATGAAAGCTGATTTGTGACTGTCATATTGCCGACCCATTTGGCGGGTTTAAATTTGTATTTAAATTAATTTTACTGTGCTCGGCCAGAACAAAAAAGAGGTCGTAAGATGGGAGCACTCAGCATGAACATTTCCTGCCATTACATCAATGGGAGAAGCCGTCGTAAACATGTCACATTATTGTGATGGAAATTTTTTACTAAATCCATTTCATAACCTATTTGGACAATTTCATTTTCGAGCAGTTGATCTTGAGTTACAAAAGTTTTGACGATTAGAGAAATGCGTATTTTAGAGAAATGCGTATTATGTTTTAGGTACTGTTTTGTTCAAAATGACTCTTTGTGATGTAGTGTCGATGATATGCAAGTATAATT